AACTCGGCAGAGTTCTCTCCATACAACCACCAAAAAGTCCACCCATATCATAGGAATGAATGTGAACTTTATAGTCTAATCTTGCACCTCTATACAGGCTATTATATGATTTGATCAAGTTTGGAATGTCCTTTTACATTACAGTCATGCCCAGACACTTGATCAGTTAGGTAAGGAGTCAACTCTGCAAGGGCAGAACTTGAAGAGAAATTGCCAGCTGTAAATGTATATATAATATATGACTTCCTTATTTGAGTTCCTAACAGCACTCAGAGTTAGTAAAACTGAGTTTCAAAGACAGATTATGCTTTTCTCCAATAAATGCCATGGGCAGTGTTGTTGCCAACTCCCAGCATTTTATCAGGAGTCTCATGGTTTTTCTTACGCCCCTACCTCCCGCAGAGATGCTATTTGAGAATTTCAAATTTCACTGACCTAGTTAGTTCTAGCCCTCCTGATTGCGGAGCAAAACTTGAAAACAGGACTCCAAGAGGCTCAAACCAGAAAGAAAAACAGCCCAAATTATGATGACATTTAAGTGTAATAAGATTGAAGCAAATCTCATAATTTTTGAATGCTTGGGGTTGGCAGTACTGCCATTGACCAAGAATGAGCGAAGTACAAAAATTGGGTGTAAATGGTCAGATCTACCTATTTTTAGGCCAGTTGCTAGTGAGTTTCCCTTAGCAGGGAACTGCAGAGAACGCAGGGAAATGTTATTTTCCCCCCTGCCTCCACATATACCTTTTTTTTTTTTTTTGAGACTCTCAACAGAAGCATTTCTATTGATGATCAGGTTTTATAAGGCCCTGACTGTGTCCTTTTAAGCCAGGGGTTCGGGACCCCTCAGGGGGTCGCAAGGTTACTACATGGGGGGGTCGTGAGCTGTCAGCCTCCACCCCAACCCTGCTTTGCCTCCAGCATTTATAATGGTGTTAAATATATAAAAAGTGTTTTTAATTTATAAGGGGGGGGTCGTACTCAGAGACTTGCTACGTGAAAGGGGTCACCAGTAAAAAAGTTTGCGAGCCACTGCTTTAAGCCTCTGCCAAAGGGCAAAAAACCATTACCATACCATTGCAATCTCCTCTCATTGCCTCATAAGGGCCTCTTTCTTTATTGCCAATTTGCCATCAAATCGGGCACCGCATGTTCTCGAGAAAGATCGTCCTAGATAAACCTTTGACGCTGATGCCAGGGTTACACTGGAAGCTTGCCAGCATAGTAATGGCTGATAGAAATGTTGCCAAAAAGTCACACCCCTATTCCAGCAAAAGTCCTAGTGTAGCGGCAGTTATACTGGCCAAAAAGATAGCTTATTTCACTCAGGGAACCAGGATAAACTATACCAGCAAAAGCACATGTTTGCCAGTATAAGCGGTGTCTCCACTGGGAAGGTTTGCTGGTATCAGTATACCGGTCTTCAGATTTTTATTGTTGCCGTGCACTGTATACCGGTGTAGCTATATTGGCAAGACTTTGCTAGGTGAGACATGGCCTTAGGGGCAAGTTACGGACAGGCCTGTACTAGGTGGAGCAGGCAGCCCTTCCCTCTCCCCTTCTCCAGGGGCATCACACAGGCAGTAGCTACAGTTGAGCTGCAGGATATGGTCCAGCCAACGCTTCTGGAGGGGCGTGCCTTGCCAAGGATGTACCTACGGCCCCACCACTGCATAACAGTATGGGAGCTGTACTGGGCAGGAGCTGGGGAAGCAGGATGAGGGCATGGTTTTTCTGGGGATGAAGCTGCTTCCCAGCATGCTCACTAGTGCCTTCCCTAGGCATAACCCCTCCTGGCTTGCCCCAGCCCAGTTCTGCTTTGGAGATGGCAGAGTTTTGCCCTTCAGCTCTTCCAAACTGGTTCCTCAACTTCCGACGTTCCCAGACCCGCAGGCCTGGTGTTGCCAGTTCTAATAGGAGCCTGGCACAAAGGTGAGGGAAAGACCCCAAACTTCCAGGCCAGCCTTTCTCCAGTAGGCACAGCTGTCGCCCAGGACTAGGGGATGGCCCGTTCTTGCCCTTGCAGCTCTGGGCGTTGGTGTAGAAGGAAGCAGCATCACCGGCGTTCTAACTGGTCATGGGACCACAGCTAGCTGCAGGCTCGGACCCTGAGAACCTGTCTGAGCTGCACTTCTGACGTGCTTGGGCTAAGGAGCTCGGTTACTTACCGTGAAACAATGCGGCTAGAGTCCTGTCCAGGAAACACCAGCGCCTGGTTTTTAGTTCAAACGTCTTCAGCAACAGCCATGTCCGCTTGAGCGGTCCGATGCCACATCGCCAGCTAGCCTGGGAGCAAGCCAAGCGAGGGACTGGATGGGACACCACCAAAGCAACACAGAGGCACTGCAAAGAATGGCGCTGGTGACTCAGTTGGGAGCATCTTTTCCTCAAGGCAAGTCCTGCCCCCAGTGCTCCAATCTGGCGTTTGGGGTGCTGTGTTTCAGAGATCCTGACCCCATAGGCTCCTTAAAGATCCCATAACCTTTGCCACAAGGTAAGATGTAGTGCCTCTTGAGTGCTGGTCAAATTCCAGCTTGGGTAATGACAGTCTGGCTCCCTAAATCCTCCCTGCAGTTTTCATTGGCTGTAGGAGCATCCTTCACTTTCCTGTTGTCAGCTCCTTTTTTACTGTTGCTGTGCACCATTATGAAGGTGCCACACTTCACCTCAGAGGTGGCTGCATTTTGATGGTAGGTGAAGTTAGCCCTGTGTAAAACAGCAGTGACTTAGGGCTAAATGGGGCCCAGGGCCACCAAGACCTTCTCTCCCATTCCACTCTCCAACAGTTTCTTTTCCCCAGCACTCCAGCTGGTCTTTGCTCTTGCCCATCCCCATTGAATTCTTGATCTTCTGAGGGAGGCAACCCTACCTAACCCACCCACTCACAAAGCTGGGCAGTGCTCCCATCTCATCTCCCCAGCCAGCCCACTTCTGACCATGGAGCCGAGATTCCCAAGGGTCTTGCTCCAAGTTCTCTCCCAGTGGTGTCTCATTTGCACTGAAGTGCTTTGCTCTCCATTAGGCGTCACCGCCAGAAGAGATTTCTCAGAAGGTTCTCAGCTCCCAGAGCTGGTACCAGAACGTAAGGAGAGCGGAACTCCCATTTCAGCACCTAATAAGTAGCCTGGTTTTCCAGAGAGCTCAGCATGCTGCCTGCTGAGCAGTTCTGAAACCCAAGCCCCCATGAATATTGCGGGGGGGGGGGGGGGGGGGGGGGGGGTGGCACCGGGGGCAGGGAGCCGAGAGGGCACAAAAAGGCAGCCTTAAAACTGAAGAATAAATTGGAAAGGGGGAAAAAAAAAGTTTCTTGTGTCTCATAAAGAGCACCAGCTTCCATGGCTCCAGGGAGCACGTACACCTGCAGACAAGGTGATTAGCTCCAAGCGAGCTACTCTTAAGGCCAAACACTCACTGTTGCATAATCACATTGCCAGCGAATGTTGCCATTGCAAAACATGTATATATAGTGCTGCGAGGCCACACTGCTCTGCCTAAACAGACGGGGGCACATTCCCTGACCTCAGGAGTTTATGGTCCAAAGAAGATTAGCTATCAGTCATAGTTGCATGGAAAATTGGCACAACTCCAGCATTTAACAGCTCGGAAGGATTATACACCAAGGTTGCTATTTCGTACGGGACCTCACAACTATCCAGATAGCTTTAATGCTCCCATCTCTATGGTATCCAAGTGCCACTCACGGGCATTAGTATTTTCAATGGTCCATTAAGGGTTCCCTAACATTGCAAAGCTAGTAACCAACAAGATCCTGCTAACTCTCTCAACTCCAGATTAAGTATACTGCAGGGCAGTGAACTGGGTTTCTGCTCTCCTTCCACCCTTCAACTGATGTGTGTGTTTTATAGCCACTTATTTGGTAATTATAGTCCTAAAACGACAGCTGGTTAGTAACAAGCGAGGTACAGGGTACATCTGGAAGAGGCAGCTTGGCTTGAGGGATTAGAGGTTTCCCTGTAGCGCATCCATCCCACCCATCAAAAGTTATTACAGTAATTAAACTCTCAAGGCACTGGTCCAGACAAAGAGCCCTGAGCCCAAAAGCCGTTCATTCTAGAGTCCTGTATAAAAGACATATGACATGAGTGCTTCCCCGCTCCCCCATTAATAACGTTACTAAATTAGTTGATGGATCCCATTGTCCCCACATACCAGGATCTTTTAACTCAGCCTGTTAAGTTTGAGCTGTAAACTCCAATCCAACTCCAGGGTTGACGCTATGTCAGGGCTCAACCCTACTAAGCACCGTTTTCCATATGATTTTTTGGATTCACTAGTTAAAAAACACTATTGTGAAGGAGCCAATCTTCCTTAACTCCCCAGGCACAGAATTCAACACCCGTCCAGGAAGAAGTAAAGTGCATGACCTATTAACCAGAGAGGCAACAGCTTCTTCTAGTGCATGGGGGTCGAGCCAGGAAACTTGCCTGTCAGCCAGCAGAGTGCTGACAACGCACACGGAGTGCACACCAGAACTCCCCGCCCGAGTCCTACGGAGCAATGGCAGGATTTAGTCGATTTTGCAATGATTTCTGGAGGGGAGGCGGCTGCAGGCAGAGGTCTCCAACGCCACAGACGCACGCAGCAAGACAGGGCGCCTTGCTATGAGCAAGCCCCAGAAAAGTGTCCCAAGGCAGGGGGGTGGGGAGTACACCCTAGTCCCACTGGAAATGGAGAGACAGGGGGGGCAGATCCTGCAGAGGGGAGATGGCACAGACCCCTGGCTGATTAGTCCTTGATCCCCTGCAGCCTGGCTCTCTGCAGGCGACAGGCGGCTTGTCCCAGCCAGGGATGGGGGCTCGCAGCCTGGCCGGGCAGGTGGCCCCCTCGCCAGCCACACGGAGGGGGGGGCGCTTGTTTATGGGGCTGGGGGTTCCCCCTTTCCCCAGCCCCATTTGGCCAAGGGAGGGGACCTAGGAGAGGCGAGCGCCCTGGATCCCACAGCCTCCCCACTCCCGGACCCTGCACGCCCAGAAACTCACCGCGGCGCAGCACCGTCCCCAACGCGCCCCGGTGTCACTGGGGCAGGAAGCGCCGCCTGGTATTTGGGGCTGCGGTGCCTGGTTCCTCATTGGCTCTTCAGGTGTGTGGGGGGGGAGAGGGGGGAGGAGAGGCACTGTGGGGCCAGCGGGATGCTGGGAGATGTAGTTTGCAGGCCCGGATTGGAGGGGCCGGGCGGGGGGAGCCGGCGGGGGCGCTGCGCCTTGGGGCGCATGGTCCTGCGCCCTGGGAAGCGGCCGGGCTGCAGCGTGCGCTGCGCTGCGCTCGGCGCTGGGCACGGTCCCAGAGCCGGAGAGTCTCAGCCCAGGGCTGCCCAGAGGATTCAGGGGGCCTGGGGCAAAGCAATTTTGGGGGGCCCGTCCATAAAAAAAAGTTGCAATACTATAGAATACTATAGTCTCGTGGGGGCCCCGGGCAAATTGCCCCACTTGCCCCCCCCCTCTGGGCAGCCCCGTCTCAGCCAGGCCAGCGCCCCCACCCCTGGGCATGGGGCAGGAGCCTTCCCTGCAGGGCAGAGCCCCCCCCCCCGCCTCCTCTCTCCCTTTGGCAGGCTGGCCACAGCCCACTGACGAGTGAAGCTGCCCCAAGCCCAGGCTTATCAGGCAGACCGGGGTCCAAGCCCACTGGCCGCTAGGCAAGTGAAATAATCCGGGGCAAACTGATTATAGCGCTGGGGAGTGGGGGGGGGCAGTGGGGTACACTGCCGTTGTGTAGGAGGGCGTCAGAGCTTGCTCAGCTGTGTGTCATAAGCCCTCTACTGCTCACGGCGAAGGGAGGTTCTCCTTTAGCTCAAGCAGGAGGCGCTTTGGAAGCAGAAGGCCCCCGTCATTGCTGCGGGGGGTGGGGGTGGGGCGCACACGGTCGGCCGTTCTAGTAGCGGCTAAAGGCCTAGGTGGTTGTGAGTCTTTTACGGGGGCAAACGGGGGTCGGGTTGAGGAAGTGGAAGAGCCACAGGATGAGGTCACTGTGGAGGAGAGTGGAGGAAGTGAATTTGCAGGCAGGGCCAGATGACGTCCGTTCTGGGCCCTGGACATTTTATGGCCGTGATATGAGGCCCCTCTGCCCAGCCCACTGGAGGGTGGCCTGGAGTCCCCCCCTTTCCTCCCAAAGAGCTGCAGCAGCACCATGGGGTCCCTTTCTCCCCTCCAGAAATGGCAGCAAGAACCCTCCCCTCACTTACTCCAGCAGCCCGGGTGTCTCTGCTTGACGAGGGAGGGCTGCTGTACTTTTCCCCTCAGAGTCGCCTGTTGTGGTGGGGTTAGCAGGGTCTCCAGAGCCGTGGGTGGTGGAGATATCAGCCCCTAGAGATGAAGGGGGCAATTCACCCCTCTGAGGGTGATGGTGTCTGACTCCCTGTAAACTTCAGCAGCCTTCACTGTGTCTGTTACGCTCCCCCGCCTCAGAGCCATTGTCCCAGGCTCTCTACAGACCCAAGCATCAGTAACAGCCAGGTCACATTTTTGAGTTTTTCCTCCCACTCACTAGGGCTAGAAACTATTCCCCCCCCCACTCCAGGAAAGCTGAAATTCTGAAGTAATCCCGGGACTCCAGGACCTGGTGCCCTAGGCCTGGGCCTATAGCTCAGTGTTGCCCTGTGTTGAAATTAAGGCACATTTAAGCTTGGACTCCATTGGTTCTATCTTCCAGTGTAGTGTTCTTGTGTGCAGATAGAGGGACACGTAGCTTGGAGGCACCATCCCAACAAAGCATGCTTAGAAGTGGCCCTGGTCAGCACATCTGTAGACAGACACGCAGCCTTCAGCCACTGATGTCTCTGCCAGCCTGTTTCTTAAAGACCAGATCCAATAGGGATGAGGAGTACAGAAAGGAACAGGGCCGGCTCCAGGCACCAGCCCACCAAGCGTGTGCTTGGGGCGGCGCCTGGAGGGGGGCGGCGCGGCGGGGCGGGGCGCTCCGGCCCGAGAGCGGGGCCGCAACTGGGCTCACCGCTCTCCCGCGCTCCGGTGGCCGGGGAGAGCGGGGCCCCGGCCGGGGAGAGCGGAGAACCCCAGCCGGGCTCTCCGCTCTCCCCCCGGCGCTCTGGCCGCCGGGGAGAGAGGAGAGCCCCGGCCAGGCTCTCCACCCTCCCCCCGGCGCTCCGGCCAGTCGGGGACTGCGGGCCCGCGGCCGGGCTCGGCGCCCTCCCCTGCCGCAATGGGAGGGGGGCGGCCGGTGGCTTTTTTGCCTAGGGCGGCGAAAAAGCCAGAGCCGGCCCTGGAAAGGAGGGATAAGGGAGCATGTGTCCTTTGCAGGAAGGCAGGGGAGGTTGCTCCCTAGCCTCGGGAAGTGATGAAAAGGTGCAGATAACTCAGAAAGCTTGAGTTAAACATTACCCCGTGTAACCAGTTGGCCTAGATCGAAAGGCAGGGCAGCAACAGGAATGGGAATGGGAACAGACCCGGTATAAATATGCTGGAGTGACTGAAGACCCAATTTCACTAACAGGGCTGCCTCCTGTTCTATAGCTCTGTACATCCCACAAGGCCACTCTGTGGTGGTGTGAGCCGCTGACAAGTGACTAAATGGAGCTCCAGGTGATACAGTAATGCCCTTCTGACTTCCGCTTATGTGCCGGATAATCCCAATGCGGCTGCCAGTGCACAGATCCTGGACAAGCCAAACCAACAGGCTTCCTGCATTGAAAACACGTTTGAAACACTGTGGAACTGGTGCCTTTTTCATAGTTAGCTGTGCGGGATGTATCGACAATGCGATTCGTGGGCAGAGCTCTGCACCAATAGCATGGGACATGTAGGTGCCTCACGTATACAACGCAGCAGTCTCCAGTTTTGGCTTAGATAATGTCACCCTGGTATTTGCAGTATTCCCTGCACCAAGGATAGGAAATATGGCAAATCCCAGAAAAACACCTGAGCCACACAGACTGACCCAGTGTGTGGGCGGGTGGGGGGTTTCATGGAGGTTCAGGGGTCTGCCCACAGGGACCTTATCAATTGGAAAGCTTTAAGAATGACTGGGCGTGTGTTGTATGATTTCCTCTATTTTATTATTATTGGAGTACCCACAGAGTGCCCGGTGCTGTACACGGACCCAGTCCTGCAAAGACACATGCACAGTCTGACTGATCAATGGAATTAACCGTACAGTGCATAAAGGCAAGCGCGGGCATTGGTCTTCACGGGACTGGGGCCATGATACAGAGATAAAGACAGTCCCTACTCTAAAGAGTTTACAATCTGCCAGCCAGAAACAGAGGAGGCAGGATGCCGTGGGACCCTGAGGAGGGAATACACGAGAGTGGGATTTGAAGAATGATCGTTATAATGGGTCAGATCTTTAGCCAATCAGTGTCAGAGTCAATGGCGCGAAGTCAGTGGAGCTGGGATGCTTTAGGCTAGCTGAGGATCTGGCCCAGTGACTCCAGTTGAGCTATGCCAATTTATACCAGCTGAAGATCTGGCCCAATGATCTCAAAGCAGCTACACCAATTTAGACCACCTGGCCCATTGACTTCTATGAAACTATGTTGATTTATGTCAGCTGAGGATCTGGCCCAGGGATTGGACTGGTTCATTCCCCGAACATTGCAAAGCAGTGAAGGAGGGACTTTAATGTAGTGAGGGTGGTGGCACAAATGTTTGAACAAATATCTTTTTGATACACTCTCCTGAAAATACTCTTGTGTCAATTACAGGCTTCACGCTGCCCTCTCCACTGGACCACGCTGCCTCTTATAAAAGGTTCCAGTTCCACAATAGCTAAATCCATTTTCAGTTACAACAAAGAGTCTGGTGGCACCTTAAAGACTAACAGATGTATTTGGGCATAAGCTTTCGTGGGTAAAAACCTCACTTCTTCAGATGCATAGAGTGAAAGTTACAGATGCAGGCATTATATACTGACACATGGAGAGCAGGGAGTTACCTCACAAGTGGAGAACCAGTGTTGACAGGGCCAATTCGATCAGGGTGGATGTGGTCCACTCCCAATAATAGATGAGGAGGTGTCAATTCCAGGAGAGGAAAAGCTGCTTCTGTAATGAGCCACTGGCCATCACATACAGCCCACAGCTAAAACCTCTCCAGCGCATTATCCACGATCTACAACCTATCCTGGAAAATGATCCCTCACTCTCACAGACCTTGGGAGGCAGGCCAGTCCTTGCGTACAGACAACCCCCCAACCTGAAGCAAATACTCATCAGCAACTACACACTACACCACAGAAACACCAACCCAGGAACCAATCCCTGTAGCAAACCTCGTTGCCTACTCTGTCCCCATATCTACTCTGGCGACACCATCAGAGGACCCAACCACATCAGCCACACCATCAAGGGCTCATTCACCTGCACATCCACTAATGTTATATATGCCATCATGTGCCAGCAATGCCCCTCTGCCATGTACATCGGCCAAACCGGACAGTCCCTCCGCAAAAGAATAAATGGACACAAATCGGACGTCAGGAATGGTAACATACATAAGCCAGTAAGTGAACACTTCAATCTCCCTGGTCATTCTATTACAGATTTAAAAGTCACTAGCATTGAACAAAAAAACTTCAGAAACAGACTTCAAAGAGAAACAGCAGAACTAAAATTCATTTGCAAATTTAACACCATTAATCTGGGCTTGAATAGGGACTGGGAGTGGCTGGCTCATTACAGAAGCAGCTTTTCCTCTCCTGGAATTGACACCTCCTCATCTATTAGTGGGAGTGGACTACATCCACCCTGATCGAATTGACCCTGTCGACACTGGTTCTCCACGTGCGAAGTAACTCCCTGCTCTCCATGTGTCAGTATATAATGCCTGCATCTGTAACTTTCACTCTATGCATCCGAAGAAGTGAGGTTTTTACCCACGAAAGCTTATGCCCAAATAAATCTGTTAGTCTTTAAGGTGCCACCAGACTCCTTGTTGTTTTTGTAGATACAGACTAACACGGTTACCCCCTGATACTTGACTCCATTTTCAGTGTGGGCAACACATTGTGTGACCGCTATTAAAAATATTTCTTCCCTACAGGGTTCCTGGACTGCCCATGCGACCCAGTGGAGCAGGGGTTCCTATGTGCGTTCGTAA